ATAAAAAATTCCAAAGTCTCCTGAGACTGATAAAGAAAAGCATAAAAGTTTGCACATCCATAAGCAAAAGTAGGCAGTACTTACCTATTTTCTTGGAAAGTATCTGGAAGTGACAGTGTAGCTTAAAAAATTTAGTGCAGTCTCATATAAACTGCCAACAGACAGACCCCTTGCTCCTTCTTTTCCAGGAACATCTGCCAATTCTATGTGGCAATTCCATGAACAATATCACTCAGGGTTACTTTTAATGTTGACTTTGCTTATGTTGATATTTAGCTTAGGAAATTATCAGACACCAAGGCTGTTCTAGGGGACTTAATTTGCACAGGTGCTGGGTTCTAAGAGGACAGCGAAGCATAAGAAGTAGAATTGAGGGCTCTTACCAGTTTTCCCAGTTGTCTGGATTGGGATACCAGTGTGGCAGTCAGCACCGCAGGCCCCTGGAAAGTGTTCTGCAGGCATTTAGGAGCCACCTTGCCAGGATATCTGTGCAGAGAAAGTCACAGGCCAGGGCCCAGGATGGTGTCACTTAATCTGGACTTTTCTCCAAAACACTACAAGGCACTGACCCTAGAGCTGTGAGCAGGAGCCTTCTGTGAACTGTCTGTTGGGAAGGACCTGAAGGGAGAGACAGACCCACCCGTTTCCCCACCTGCCCCCCAAAGCGCCAGGATCTGCCATCATTGCCAGCAGACAGACCACTTTCCACAAGGATCGGCACTCCGGTTCACGTTTTTATCAAAATTTGAGCATGTATTGACATCAAAACACTCTCTTTCTAGTAGAAATGAAAGAGTGAAAAATGGGCACTCAAAGATTCCATTTTTGTTGTATCCGAAGACAGAGACTAAAATCTTGTCAGGGCAAAATAGCTCTGACATTTCAAACTCTGCCCAGAAAGAACTCATTGCATGACAATGACAGCAAGGTATGGGGCTGAAGACACAGGGTAAGGAGGAAAGGGAAATGAAAGAAGAGCCACAACAAGGAAAACGCTGTGCTCCTGGAAATGAAACTTCACGATGTTGGGACTCCCCCTTAGAGCACTAGGGACTGACTCAGCACACACTGATAAAATGCTAAAACAATTCATTTTGGACTAGAGCATGATTAGGGCTCCCTACAGTCATCCTCACCAACCTGACACCCTGGGGAGTTTTCCTCTTCTTTTTGTTCATAGTTCTTGGGGGTCCCCAGTCACTCCACTGAGCTGGCCTGGATTTCCCTCTTCCAGCAGAAGGCAGGTGCCCAAGACTGTTTCCTTTCTTATGGATAATATCTTACTGTTAATTAAAGAAGGTAAGTGACAATGGGAGGAGGGCACGTTCAAAGATTTCATAGAACATGTTTTGGAACTCTCTGAGTATTTTTTAAACATCAGATTTTGCCCAGGATATTCCTGTAGCAACATATACTGCTTATTATTACTATTGTTGTAGCTGCTGTTTCATTTTATTGTCCTTCAATGTCCAATCACAAGGTTAGTAACTTTTAAATCTTTCTCATTTGGGACAAATTACTAAATGTTAACGGCTCTTTTATAAGCTTCATACAAAAGCTGACTCTGAGGAGTGCTTTTGCTCTTGAAACAGTTTCCCAAGGGTGCTGAAAGAGATAACGCATTGGTGCCTGACCCACTAAATTTATAATTTCTGTCAAGGATGGAAATGAAATTTCTGGTCCTAAGAGATGAGTTCAGAGAGTAAGGATTAGTAATAAGATTCTCAGCCTGAATTTGCCCAGGAAAATCTTGTCCTTACAGATAGGGACAAAGAGACAAAATCTGGGGCTTCCTGGAGTGGATTTTTACCAAGAAAACAAACTACAAACAGTCAAGTGAAGGGTGCACCACATTCTTCCACCCCACTATTTGAGATTTGAGTAATCTCAAATCTGGCTAAAAGGTGAGTTTTTTGAGCTCTTCAGGACTCTACTTGTTATACACAAAGTTATAGACATTACTTATTACAGTAGGAAAATAAAAGAAAATCATTCTTGCTTTCTCTGTTTAATAAACAGTCTGAATGATCACACACACACACACATACACGCACAAAGGAAGAAAGGAAAGTTGTGACCAGTTGACACCAGGAGTCTTGCAAGGTCACTGTGTTCTGCTTGTATATGAGAAACAATAAAATACCTTTCCTTTTCTATGATTCACCACATCATAGGAACTCCTGAGACTAAAGGAAGACAACATACAGGGAAAAGAGAAGGTAGTGATGAAAGGAAATGATGGGAGAAGAGAAGGGGGGATGTGTGCAGCAATCAGGCTGCAGCATCCAAGGATCTGCTTTGTCCTCCGTCCACTGCTGGGATCCTGACTTTGCAGGTGGAGAGACTCAGGTGCCCTGGGCATCTTTTCTGATCTGCTTTTCTTAGCTCTCCACTTCTCTCACAGAGTAATGACAAAGCAACATAGTGAATGTCTCTCAACTGGGGGAGTAGGTGAAGCAACTTCTTCCTAAGTTTCCAAAGGCCTTAAGCAAGACCTGGGTGAAGAAAGTAGGGAAGGCACCATTGCTCCCCCAGAATCTCTAGAAGGACTGGTGAGGCTTCTCTTTTCTTTGAGCTCCCCGCACTATATCTAGGTTTCTCTCTAGGTCCTTCGGCATCTCCTGCCCCACCCAAAAAGAGTAAGTACACCAGTGGAAATCCCCTGAGCAAACTAGCACATGCTGTACCAAAATATTGTGTCTTGGCTTTGTTCTTTTACATCTTCACAACTAAAGGAAAGAGATACAATCAAAATGATAGTCCACTAAAATGATAAACAAGAGAATTTAAAGAGACACAACCCAATTACTCACCCATGGAGTGACAATCTGAGCAATTCATGAGACCTGTGTTGGTGGATAGATATAATTCGTGATTCCTTCTCTAACACTTATTTAGTTCATGGGAATTTATAATTATATCTTTCTCGAAAGGATATTCAGCTCCATGCAAAAACATACCAATTTTTATGAATCAGGTTCATGATTTTCTAACCAAGCTTTCAAGACAAGATTAGAAATGAGGGCACAAATTATTATCTGATGCACAAAATTGTCACTCTTTGAAATATGTTTCAAAATGCCAAAAGAAAACCTCAGCAGATGGAAGAGATGATTATGTGCATGTGGTTGGCTTCTTGTTCTGAAATATCCCTTGAGCTTGCAGTCCAGAATGTGATCTTATGAACAGAGTACCCCATCTCTGTCACTGGATCTGCCTCAACAGTGAAGACAGGCTTCCAGAGACTGTACAGGTGCCCCACTTCTTTTCTCATTTTATGACATTGTCACAATCACTGCAATGATGACATAAGCGAACTCATGCAGCTTTCAAAGACTCTCTCTGTTTTACACTTTGGAGGTGTTGTTCATCTTTGCTAATGCAGCCATTTTTACAGCCCAATAGACCGATATCTACCCAATGTCTGTGAATCAAATGGAAGTTCACTACTCACTGTCCGCTCGGCATCTCAGTACTCATCACCTTGAAATTTCAGTCGTATGGCTTTTTTCTAAAAGAGAGCTGAGGGCTGTTTTATAGCTCCAAACCAGGTGATCAGGCAGTGGAAGACCTGAGCAGACCTCAGAGTTTCAGGAGTCATTGCAGGATTGCTATCAACCTGCACCTTCATTTGAATACTAATAGCAGTTTAAAGAAAAAGATACAACAATTACCAGGAAGTCAGTTAGACTTAACAAATATGACTACTTTAACCCAGGGGCCATGTTGGGAGCAGTTTTGATTGGCAGATGAGTTTAGGGAGAGTCTGAATTATCTTCGTCATTGTCCCAAGCTTTTGCCCCATACGCACGTATAGGCAGGTACTAATGTGGTTCGCAAATACTGTATGTTCCTGAAATGTTGTGTGGCAATCACTTTTCACAAATATAATCCTATTAAAACCACACTGATGGGCGCCTGGGTGGCTCAGTTGGTTAAGCGACTGCCTTCAGCTCAGGTCATGATCCTGGAGTCCCAGGATCCAGTCCCACATCAGGCTCCCTCTCACCCTCCCCAGTCTCATGCTCTTGCTCTCTCTCATTCTCTCTCTCTCACATAAGTAAATAAAATCTTTAAAAAAAAAAAAAAAACTTTGGTGTTTGTTGCCTTTAAAAAAAAAAAACCCACACTGAGAAAACAACTGTGTTACCCAATAAACAAGGGATCAACAGCTTTTATTTTTTTCTGTGAAGGACCAGAGAGTGAAGATTTTACATTTTGTGTGCCATACGGTTTCTGCCTCAGGTTCTCAACTCTGCTGTTGTAGCACAACAGTAACTGTGTTCCAATAAAACCTTATTTGCAAGAACAGGTGGTGGGCCAAATTCTGCCCCTTGGTCGTAGTTAACCAACTCCTAAACTAAATAAATAATTCTTGAATGCTTACTTTGATGAGCAAGGTATAAGTAAGTATTAGGGATAGACAGAAAACCAAACAAAATTTCTGTTCTTGTGAAACTCTCTAGTGTGTATGTTCAGAGATTAGAGGTGAACTATTTAAAATAACCTGCAATACATTACTTCATGAAGTGCAGAATCTTTCCTTAAAGAGAAACGCACCCTAGACAATCAACTGATTAGCTTTCTGAGTTTAGTTTCGTCTTGTGATTTTTTTTTTTTTTTAACTGAAACTTGTTCACATTCTAGTCTCAGGTAGTTTGGGGCTAGATTTGAATGCACTACCTTACTCTGGAATAAGTGGAGTAAGTTTGGGGGCTGTCAGGAATGCCAAAGAGGTACAATAATTCAAATGTTCTTCTATCCCTTCATTTCCTCTACCTCTGCTTACAACAGCAATACTTTTACTCAGACTTCCTGTTTCTGGCACTTGCCTTCTTTTTTGCTGTGTTTATACTTCCCCCTGTCTGTGGTTAAATAAGTATAAAGTGCTAAAGCTGTAGATTTGTCTCTGGCTCTCTCGCGCTGGTGCTCACTCTCTCTCATTCATTCCTATGCATAGGCTCACACACCTCCTCTCTCCTTTCTTTCTCTCTCTCAGAATGACGATTCTGGGTACAGCTTTTGGTATGGTTTTCTATTTACTTCAAGCCGTTTCTGGAGAAAGTGGCTATGCACAGAACGGTGAGTCATTTCTAACTTTTCTTTAGGATTTCAGATGATCTCAAGCATATACTCAGATCCCTAACAGACCTGATCTGGACACTGGGTTGGAATGGAGTTGGAGAACTTGCCACATGCTCAGTCATTTTGTAAGTTCTAACCACCAAGACAGGGCGTCTGGGGACAATACTGAGGATGGTTCATAAAGTCTTAGAATTGTCAGAAAGGAATGCATTTGATTCTCTAAAGGTGGATCTTAAATGTCGGTCAATGCCTCTGCTCTCACAAAAAGAACACCCATATAGACAATATAGACACAATGGTTGTACTTATTGGAGAATCTCCAAGGCAGTTTTACCTTGTTAAAAAAATCAAGTTAAATTTGTTTTGCTTAGCTTTTTCGGAGGTTCCAAAAGCATGACTTTCATGATAAAATAATTTCGAAACAACAGCTTTGTCTGCTCTCACCAATGCCATATCTCTAGCACCTAAAAGAGTGTCTAGAACTGAATTCAGTATTTGAATTGAGTATTTGAAAATTTCTTCAAAATACTTTAGTTTTGATAGATTTATGTGAGATTCTTAGGCAATAACTGAACAGTGAAAGATCTGAATGAGTTGTCTCATTAAAATATATTTAATTTTCTCCATATGGACAAATTTATCATCATATAATAACTCTCTTTGGGATCCTTGAAATACTTAGCACCTAGAAGCCGATGCTGCCTACTTAGTAAATAAGTTGTAATTACAACAAAACTGAGACAAAGGCAAAACAGCCGCAACAGGAGCCATCTGGGAATTTGGACCACCCATTTGTTCCTGGTAATTAAGCCCTTTTACTTTAAGAGTTAAAAAGGATTTTCTTATCAAGGTTATCAAACACATCAGCTCAACGATTCAGCTTAGATATGTTAAGCCATGTATTTACTAAGATTGGAAATCCCTAGAATATTTTCACTACGGGAATTGTCAGAGTGCTGACATTTTTCACAGCGTGACCATGTATGAATCACTTTGTGGGGATGGTTATTATTCGAAAGTATTGCCTTGTGTTTGCACAGATAGCTGGTTGGCAAGTAACACCTAATTCTTACTCTTCAGAGTATAATCTATTCCCTCTATTTCTCCCTGGTGGCCATACTTTTTTTCCCCAAAGAAATAAAAATTCTAACTGAAAGCTGAGTTTTCACTTCAACTTCTTAAATTTCAGATTGATTTAGGAGATCTAACCAATCATCCACACTGATCACGCCAAAATACTTTTCAGTTTGGGGTGTATAATAATCAGCTGTTATTTGTTGAAAGATTAGTTCTTTGATAACCACAAGGATGAGCCAGAGAAGAAAGGGATATTTTTTTTAAATCCAAGCCATTCATACTTTTAATCAACTAATTCTTTTCAATAGGAAGATTTTTAAGCCACATGGCCTTGTCTATCATACATATTCTAAAAATTAAATTTTTATAGAAAAATATGCTTACATAGTGAGCATTTAAAGAATAATAGGTTAACTCACTGTTCAAAAATTCTATGTAATTTCAAAGCCATAGTAATAATACCTTTGACATAGAATTCTTTTTCAAAGGAGCCCCACAGTTTTCACGTATATTCCAGAATTAGAATTCTCATTTTACCTTTTCATTACTTATTGTCAAAAAAAAAAAACAAAGATAATAGTCATAGCTAACCCTTATTGGGTGCTTACTGTGTTCTAAGCTAAGTCTTTGCATATATTTTGTTCAATGATTCCTCAAAATAATGTGAATTTCCATATCGAAACAATGAGTCATGGAGAGGTTGAGTAACCTGACAGGGACCGCAGCTAAAAAGTAGAATAGCGAGAATTTAAACCCGCATCTGTCCAGCTCTGGTGCTAGAGGTCTTAACCACTGTGTATATTACCCCTTACCTAAGAATTTTTCAGTTTAGATCAAGTGTAATATTCTCTTTGTAAAATGCCTTGCAATTTTGCAAGTTGTCGAAGGGAACTTTTCTTGGTTACAAAGCAACTTTATTGGCTAAAGAGCTGATGAACTGCTTCTCAAAACATAGCCACTTTAATTGTGCTTTGCATCTTGTATGAAAATATACATCAGATTCACTCCACCAGATTGGATGGCTAAGGGCGGTGGGAGCGCTTTATTCTACTCGTGCTTAGCCTCTGCTAGACTATACTCTCTCTGGCTTATATTGTATGTTGAAGAATTTTGGAGACAAAGCTGATCCACAGAAGTCTGAATCCAAATAGTAATGTAGGTTCTGTTGTATAGGATTGGTGGAAGATTCAAAGAAGAGAAAATATCGAGACAGAGTGAGGACTGCTGAGTAAGGGCAGGCTAAAGCCACCTAGAACCATTCCACTGAGAAAAGAGCCAGTTCTTAGGAGACAAGATCTTAGTCCTATAAGATTAGGAATGAACATGCTTTAAAATATGAGCCCTAGATGGTAGGTTTCCCCCTCATTATTTAAAACTGTCATCAGGAAGAGGGCTATACCCTGCTGAAATTACATAAGAAGTCTTTGCTTGTGGCAGAATTGTGAACCTAGTGGGTTCTAGGAATGGTCAGAAAGAGCAGTGCCCACAGCTCTTATCTAGATCTAGCTTTTCAAGATTTGTGGCTTTGACTGAACCAAACTGTCACCCAGATAGTCTGCTCACAACAAACTTTACTAACTTTCCCACAGACCTACTTAGTTATTTAAGTAAAGAAGATTTTGTTTCTGCATTTCATTGCCTTCAGGACACTCAACTGGGGTTTAATTTTAACACATTCTATATCCTATTTAAAACCCTAGGTGCTTCTAATTTCTAGTATTGATGGGTCAAGGTAATTTCTAGTACTGATGGACCTGGAAGCCATCACAGGCTAACACTTGACCACTCTGAGAATGGCTTCAGTTATGCTGGATTTTCTCAGGTCCCAGTCCAAGTATATTTGCTGACAAATTTTTTTCTATTAAATATTGTGAAATATATATACAAAATGTCTATTTAATCTTAGGGGCCTCAACCGAGTTTAAGAAATTGAATACTAGCGGCGCCTGGGTGGCTCAGTCGTTAAGCGTCTGCCTTTGGCTCAGGTCATGATCCCAGGGTCCTGGGATCGAGCCCCGCATTGGGCTCCCTGCTCCGCAGGAAGTCTGCTTCTCCCTCTCCCACTCCCCCTGCTTGTGTTCCCTCTCTCTCTGTCTCTTTCTGTCAAATAAATAAATAAAATCTTTAAAAAAAGAAAGAAAGAAGTTGAATACTATCTGTGACAGATTGTACTTCCCAAAAGAGGCTGAAAAAAAAATCCGATTCTCTACATTCTTCGAGAATTCTGATGTCTTTAAGATACAATTTCTATAGATGAAGGATCTATACATGTAGAAGCAGTACCTATAGGATTCCTGTAGGATTCATGCAAAGGTCCACTAGATCTGAGTCCTGGCAGATCTAATTTTTTCTAACCACATTTGCCTTAGTAGCTTAAGACAAATTGCTTTAAATAAATATTCACACAATGGAGATAATCAATTGTACTTTTAGTTGGGGTGGCTATTTCCGCAAGAAAAAGCTATCCCTTAAAAAGTGAACTTCTGACTGTAAGATAGTTCTCATCTTCCTTCATTCAAAAAAGAAATACTTGGGAGGAAATAAATAAAGATTAGTGAGAAAGTCAAAGGTTAGATTAGGTAGCTTTTGAATAATGGAGATAAAGTATCTCTTACTTGAAATATACCAATTAACAGAAGAAATTAACAGTGTGAAAAAGAAAGAGTGTATTTAGTATTTTATTCTAGATATCTAATGCACTAACCCAATGGCAGAAATATTTAGAAATATTTGGAAGTTATTTATTAATTGTGATGATTTTTTTTTCCTGTTAGAAAAATCTGCGCTCATTAGATATCGATTTGGTTTGGGTTTGGGGTCTTTTCAGTTTGGGTTTTGCTATTGGTTTTTCTGTCTTTTTCCTTGGGCTTTTCTTCTTTAGATAAACCTATAATCACTCTTTCACGTCTGCCCCAAAAGGCTGCTATTTCATTAATGTCACTCCAGATTTCGAAAGGAAGCACTCATTTGCTTCATTAACAGCTGCAGGTTTGTTTTTCCCCAGGAGAGTTTGAAGATGCTGAGCTGGATGACTATTCATTCTCTTGCTACAGTCAGTTGGAAGTGGATGGAACCCAGCACTTGCTGACTTGTGCTTTTGATGACCCGGATGTCAACAGCACCAATCTGGAATTTGAAATATGGTGAGGAATAGTGGCTCCTATGGGTGCCTAGAAATCCTGCCTCTCCTTTCATGTGCTGCTCAGCAAAGGAGGGAGTATGAGGCTTAATTCTCAAGTACTAAAATCAAATAGATTCCAAAAATTTCCTGAAACTCCTTGTTCTTCACCAAAAGATTCCAGCAGAGGTACTCTCATGGGTTCATCTGCAGGCCTTACTGCTACAGCAAGCTGATGGTATGGAACTTGGAGACCTCACAACCCTTCTGACTTCATGGCAGAATTTAAGTCTTGCTTTCCTAGGACACACCTTCCCCAGATTTCTTTGTCCAACATGAGACAATCTAGTGCCTTGTTGCACTCTGGAGCACAGTTGCCTGGTTTCTAATCCCAATACTTCACAGACTTGGCTTTTTAACCTAAAGCAAGTTATGTAACTCATTTATGCCTCAGTTTCTTCACCTGTTAAATGAAATGTACTTACACATAAGGAGGGTTGGATGATTAAATAATTTAATACTTTAATTAGAAGACACATCCAGTATATAATAAGTAATGGGAAAGAAGCATTAAAATAACAAAATCTATGAATACAGACCTAACTTCCACCCTCTTGACACAGTTTGACTTCACATGATACCCTCAGTATCAATTTTCCAAAAATCTGCAGGAATAACCCAGCTCTTGGTTTCATGAGGCCTCAGAGAAAAGGCAAAGGAAAAGAGAAGTCTCTCTCTGGTTTGAAAGTTTGGTGAAGAGCTCAGAGAGCTTTCTTCTACCTCCACAATATATGTCTTGTTGCTGAGGGTTACTGTCTCTGATGACTTGAAAAAAATACTCCAACATGAAATTCTAACTTAGGGCTATCTCCAAATTCATATCAGATGACCTAATTAGTTTCCTACTAAGAAAAGTGAGTCAAGATCCACCAGTTGTAAAAGAGGGCTTCTTAAACTCAGTAGACCCTGGGCCAAGCCCCTCTAATACCTAGTCTAGACAAGACCTATATCGCATGCGTTATGTTAAATTATAGGAGCTTTCCTGAATGTGCTCATGCAGTGCTTCCTGATGCAGTCATTGGAGAAAGATGGTCTTGGACTTGAATTCCATAGTGCATTCTCATTCTGCCTCTGTCAGTTCACTTCTCTAACACACTTTCCAGAAATAAAATGTCGGGAGAACAGGAACCTACAATGTCCAAAATCTATACTGCAACTAGACTACACCAGCACAGCCAAACAGCTCATTCACACCACGCACTCATTTTTATGGACCGAGCCCTCTCCAACAGAGGTTTGACTTTGGGTTTCCACCCAGCTATTTAGTGGACTGCAGTGCTCATGTAGTTTCTCCTTGGGAGGCTGAGATGACCTTTCTGGCCACTTTCGCTCACACCACTTCCTTGCCCACTTGAACAAACTTGCCCACTTCCTTTTGCAAATCTCTTGATTTTTCCTGTCATATTGTAATCTATCTGCAACTTCCGTTGGGGATTTTCAATTGGATTTAGATATTTCAGTTGGAAAGGGATTGTCTTAAGACATGTTTTGCAGTGTGAAACAATAAATATGAGGAGGTTTAGGTGCTCCTGGAGAGCAGCTGTTTTTGTGAAGGTATACCTCAAGGGGGATTTTCATGCAAATCCTAGGCCCAACGGGGACATTGTTTCTCAAATCAAAGTCACCTACTGTGCTACATTTGCTGGCTAGGCTATGTTGCTTTTGGCTAGGTTGCTTTTCCAATGAAACTAGCTTTATTGGAACTCTCTGTTCCTTTAACATGTTTATAAAGAAGAAATTGGAAATGACCGAAAAATGTGCTTTCTGATGAAGTCTTTACACAGGTCAGATTGTTGATAGAAACCAGGTGCTATTTCCGAGCTTACTAGGGGCATTTATTTTCCTAGATGAGTTTACCACCTGTCTGATCTAGCCACCATTCTCCCAGGGTTAGAAACCAAATTACTTAGTGTTCAATGAGAGAATCCACCTCTCAGGAATGGATTTGGATTAGCCAAAATCGCAGGATTAGATTACCGGCATGCCAACTGATGATTTCACATTGGTAGATACAAGTACCATAGATACCCAGATATTCATACTGGGCTCAGGACCTATGCGACTTGGTCTTGGGGAGAAGAGAAACAGAGCAGGCCAGTAGGGTGCATATCAATATAAATCCACTCTTACTGGGGGATCTGAAAATTTTTTATTCCCAGAACATTAACCAGCTCTCAGGTACCTGGAATGACAAAACAGGCACTGAAAGTAGGCACCTACGTTAGACTCGCAGTAGCAACACTTAAGGAACTCTGTGACCAAGGAGTTACTTAAACTCTCCAATCAAAACAACTACCTGGCATTGGGGTATTTGGTATATGGTCAGTACCTGTAAATGGTACTTAATTCTCAAGGTAGACTAATTTTCATTAAAAATGTGATCAAAACTTTGTTCTAAATACAAAGCAAAACAAAGGAAGTTTTTTGTTGATTTTAAGACGAGAGTTATTTGGTTCAGATCTCAAAGTGCTTATTAATTTTTTAGGATTAGCTGCAAGCACTTAAACATCTAGGTTATCTCTTTAAAAACCAGATTTGATAATAGTGGGCCCATACAGCAAAAATACCTGAACAGAAGTCCAGCTGCACCTGCGGGTGGACATTTAAATCTCAGACCTGAAGTTAGGTCCACTTTCATAGACACCATAGGCACTTGAATTGGGAACCCTGCCTTTTAGGTGTTTGTGTAATTTCCAGAGTCAGCTCTCAGAAGGCAACTGATTTCCTTTGTTCCCACATTCTTGGGGGTACCACAGTCACTCCCATGTGCCACCTACAGATATCACTTCACATATGTCATTCTTGGTTTCATCATTTACCCTTGTCACAGGCACACTTCCAAATCTACCTCATGTTCTAGAATTACCTAGCAATATCTGTCAGGTGATTAATTTAGTCCTTCTCCAGTAAACTATACTAACTTCCAAAGTTGTTCGACATTTTTGAGATAGATTCTGTCTTTTGAGGCCAAATGAGTCATAAAAGCTAAGTTTGTTTTTGTTTCTGTTTTTAATATTTCCATATAGATACCTGTCTGTCCCATCAGGAGAAATGCATTTATCAAGCTAAACCACAAATGATTGCAGGAGATTTAGGAAGCTGGAGATAGGGTAGAGAAGCAGGCACTATGGTCTCCTCAGCAGTCTCTCCCTGTTTTCAGAACAGAGGGTTTGTGTGGATGGCTTAGGGTTGATGTCCCCTGGGAAGGTCCTACAGGCCCAAATTTGTTAGCCTATAGGACCACTTGCGGTCAAAAGTACATTAAATGAAAAAAAAAAAGTTCATTAAAAAACTAAAACAGAAAACAGAAGTAAAGCCAGCAAATCACTGAAGTAGTAATTTGTGAAAGTTTATTGTGCATGTACCAAAAAGTTTGCAAACCAGGAGTGCTTAAACTAAAATATGGAATGAGGCTTAGAGATATATTGTTATAAAGCAGCTTATGTAGTGTAAAGGCGATGAGTGTTCATTCTTTACTGTGATTGGCTATAATATTAGAATTTTCTTAACTGAAAGGAAATTGGTTAGTGGTTACCTCCTATCAGTTTTGGCAAGCGATTTAAGTTTTGCTTATGATTTTCAGAAGCATAAGCAAGAAGTCACCCAGGTTAAGTTAATCTTGCTTGTCTTGCAAAGTGAGCTAAAACATTTGCGTATATGACTATCTGATTTTGTCTGCCCAGGGATTTTCAAGTGTGGTCTCTGTGTTTAATTTTAACATTGGATACTTACAGTGCTTTTTTTTTCTCCCCCCAAAATGCCCTAAAATGGCTCTGTCCAATAGAAATGCAGTGCAATCCACAAATGTGTGAGCCATATATGTAATTCCAAATTTTCTAGTAACCACATTTAAGAAAAGAAAAAATAAATAGGTGAAATTAATTTAATTTAAATTAACATATTTAATATAACATATTTAATTTAATAATATATTTTATTTAACCTAATATATCCAAAATATTATCATTTCAGCATATAACAATATAAACAAAAATATTAATGAGATATTTTACATTCTTTTTTGCATGCTAAATCTTCAAAATCTGTTGTATATTTCATAGTTAGAGCACATCACAGTTTAGCCATATTTCAAGTGTTCAATAACCACATACTGGGTAATGGCTATCGTGTTGGATGGTGTAGTTCTAGAATATTTCTAATCTTAGCAATACATATTTAGCAACCAAGTAAGTTGTTTTAACTTAGTTAAGTTAATTGAAATGAATCGGATTGACTTGAGTTGAATACTCATGGGGAAGACACTAAGTTTCCTCCAATCTTCTGAGGCCAGGGTCATTGGTACAAAGCGAGGTTGTCTACCATAGGCCACTGGGTTTTCTTAGCTCCTGGCATGGTTTCCCCTCCATATAGGGTGGCTCCTGGAGTTCAGATCCTTAAAAGGATGCCCAGGCTCACAAGCCAACCTTATGGTGATCCTTTATATTTCATTGCTTATTAATCTCATTCTCCAAAAAGTGGGAATGAACCAAGAATACTATTTTAAGTTCTTCTTAAACTTCCAACAATACCAAGAACTTGCTACCTGTTAAGGATTTATAATTGAATATTCCACCACGCTTTACTTACAAATATATTCTAAACTCAATGACTGAACTAAAAGTCGTTATCTTTCTAATTTCTCTACATCGTATGTCTTACCTAAAATTCAGAAATAGGATACTGCTCCAATTCTCCCCTTCTATCCTTATTCATCCAATTATGACATGTTGCCATCTTCAGAACTTTCCATGTGACACTCGTCCCAAGTTTGTCCTCTTGTATCCATCTGGCCTAACTTAAAAATTTGCTTTTAATATTTACTCTACTCCGAGGGGGAAAACTTCAATGAGGGACACACTCTCTAGAAACTCCGACACACACACACACACTTAAAGCCAAAACAACTGCATACCCTAAAATATAACAGTTAACAAAAAAACTATAATTGAGGGTGGGACAATTTTA